ATTCTTCTTTTATTGTGGTGCCCAGATCTGCGGGGACCGGTGGGACAAGCAGGGCTGCAGTCTCACTGTGTGCCCAGGGATCCCCATCCAGGGGAAGCAGGACATGGCTGAAAACAGAGCCGGGCTCTGTGGGGTACACAGGGAGCCCCAACAGCAGGGCCAGTCCCACCCCTGCACCTGGGCACTGCCATGACTCAGGGACTTTCTGATGCCGAGGACGTGCCGCTGCCGTGTTTGTTCAACCACCCTCCACGGATTCCTTACCCATGAATCCACGCCATTAGGCTTTCAGCCACCTGAATTATCGGCACCCACATCCTGTGCCCAGCAGTGCCAGCTCTGGAGCAAACACGTCCTTTGGCACAGCCGGGGTGGTTTGCTGTGGCCAACACCCCCGAGCACCCCCTGGCACTTCTTCCTGGCCACTTGGTTCCTCTTTGTCCCACCGAGGGGCCACTTTACCCTCTTCCCACCGCAGTACCCCGCTCCGCACCCCGCACAGTAAAGGTGCCTGCGGGTGCTTCTCCCCATCACTCCGGGAATGCTCGGCGGGCTGTGGGAAGCGCTGGGGTGTCCCTGTCCCCGGATTGCTGGGCTGCGGGGAGAGAGGAACCGGGGGAGGATAGCCGGGGATGCAATTGGGAATTTGAGACGGGAACCAAGACCGGGAAGGAAAGCCGGCGGTGAAACCCATCCCGCCCCACGGCAGACGCACCCTCACCCTTCCCATCACAGAGAACCGGTCCGTCGAGGAGCGGACGGGTCGTCCCGGTGCCGGGACTGGGCGGACACCGTTCCGGTCCGCCCCCCGGGCGGTGCCCGGTACCGACCCGCCCCGTCGGCGAGCGGCGGGCGCGGGGAGCCGGGCGGCGGCAGAGCTGCGGGACGCGCCATGCTGCCCGCTGCCCTCCGCCGATGGCTCCGCCGACCCAAGGTGAGACCGGGGAGGGTCGAACCGGGCCGCCCTCCCTGCGCCCGGGACCGGCGGAGCCCCCGGACGGCCCCGTCGGGGCGATCCAGGAGCTGCGGCGATCCCGGGAGCAGAGGGGGCGGCCGGGGTCCCTCGTGGTGGAGCGGGAGGAGGAAGCGGGGGGACTCCGGAGGACCTTTCCCGGTGTTTACAGCCACGCACGGATCGGTGCCAAAGCTGCCGGGATGCGGCTGAGCTTGTTCATCCTGCTCTGCCCCCGGGGAAACTGAGGCACGGGTGGGTGGGGAGGGCGGCGCTCCCCGGGAGGAGCCAAAGCTGCCGTGGGAGGTCCCACGTACCTGCCCGAACAGGTGTTTGTGGATCCCTGGGGTCCGATCCCTCCGCGCCTGGGGGAGCGGGAGGTTTGGGATCCCGCTGGAGCAGCACATGGAGATGCGGGGTTCCCCCCCCCCATCACCCCTCTGCCCTTCCCGCAGCGCTCCGACCCACGCCTGCTCTCCCAGTTCTTCTTTGCCGACGAGAGGGTGACACGGGTGGTGGCCGAGATCAACGGGCTGGATGCCGAGCTGGATCCGCAGCAGTACCTGGTGCTCCTCAACCAGCTCCACCTCAGCCAGGTACGGGCCAGCCCGGGTCCTGCTGTGACTCGGTCCCCCCGGAGGCCGCGGGTGACACCCCTGCCGTCCCCAGGCTCACCTGCTGGCCGTCCTGGAGCGGATCATGGAGGAGTGCATCCCCACGCAGCGGCACAGCCGTGACTACCTGGTCAAATTCCCCGAGGAGCTGTTGGTGGACAATTTGGGGAACCACATGCTGTTTGCTGCTGAGGTGAGCCCGGGGCGAAGGACACCCCACCGTGAGCTGACCCTGGGGTAGGCATTGCCTTGGGTGCTGGCTGCTGACAGTCCCTATCCTGGCAGTGTCTCCTGGCTGGGACCTTCCTGGAGATGGAGGAGTCAGATGGGGCACAGCTGCGACCCCAGGCCAGGAATCTGCTGTGCAGCCTGGAGCTGGTCAGGACAGTGCTGCGGGAGCAAAGCCTGAGCCAGCCCAGCTCCTACCCAGAGCCTGTCCGGGCTGTGCTCATCCAATTCGACCGGCTGTTTGCAGAGTTTGAGCTGAGGTAAGGGGCAGGGTTAGGGTGCTGGGGTCGTGGTGGGCTGTGCCAGGACTGTAGGGGCCTCACAGTCTCCCCATCTCTCCAGCTACGTGTCCTCGCTGGTGGCAGTGAAGTCTCCTGATGAGATCTACAGGCAGCAGGAGATCATCGTGCTCTTCTGTGAGACAGTGGAGAGGTGAGTGAGGGGCACTGTGTGTCAGGTGGGGCTGCAGGGACTCCAGTCCCAAGGATGGGCAGCATCCCATGGCTCAGATCCACTGGAAGGGTGTCTGTGTGTCCCCAGAGCCCTGCACCTGGGCTACCTGACCCAGGAGATGATTGATGGCTACGAACCACTGCTGATGTTCACCATCCCTCGCCTGGCCATTATCAGGTGGGTGCAGCCCCTGGACAAGTGGGTGTGCTCCCTGCCCTGTACCAGCCCCTTCTCCTCATGGGGAGCTGGGGTCCCAGGCAGCCCCTGACATGAGTTGGGCTCTGTTCCCTCACAGTGGTCTCCTCATCTACCCCGAGGGACCCCTCAGCCTGGAGCGGAGCCCTGAGGAGATGTCTCGGGTCTTCAGCCCCTTCTACAACCTCCTGAAGAAGATCAGGTGTGCAGTGGGGGTGATGGCGGGGCTGTGGGGCAGCAGTGGGGCCCTGACATGGGGCTGATGCCAACCCCTCACGGCAGGGACCTGTTGTGGGTGCTGTCAGCAGAGGAGCTCTGCCTGCTGGAGAGGAGCCTGTGCACAGCCGAACAGGAGGATCCCTGCAGTCCAGATGCCCCCCCAGCCTGGGGGGCAGCTGTGCCCAGTGTGGACCTCCCTGCTCCCTTCAGTCTTCTGGAGGTCCCTAATGCCACCCAGCCACTCCCCACCTGCCAGACACGACTGGGACCCCCCAGTGCAGTGCATGACCCGGGCACTGACCGGCAGCAGGGGCGTGCGGTGGGCAGGGAACAGGGCCAAGATGGCAAATCCCTGTCCACTGGCACAGGGATATCTCATGCCATCCCTGGCATAGTGGTCACCTCCCCCCTGCGCAGTCCCCAGCCCCTTGTGAGCGGCCCAGGGACGGGGGTCAATGCCACCCCAGGTGCCCGCTGCTCGGAGCTGCGCTCCCACTACAGCAGCACCAAGGACATGCTGCACACCCTCTTCGTCTGCATCTCGGGTGAGTGACCCCCCAAGCCGACCCCCCCAGCTTCCTGATCCCCCCAGCACCCTGACCCCCCACCCTCCTGGTGCAGGGGTGGCTGATCAGCTCCAGACCAACTTTGCCAGTGACATGAGAAGCATCTTGAAAACGGTCTTCAAGATCGTGTGCTCGAAGGTGGAGCCCTCGGGGGAGCAGAGTTACAGCAGTGAGTAATCCCCAGGGACTGCTCCTCTCTGCCCTGCCCATCGCCCATCCCTGGTGAGACAAGGCCACAGCCCTAGGCTTGGGAAAAACGTGGCCATCGTGCCCGCCTAGCTCCAGCTTGGCTGGACCCAACCCTTGTCCCCGCAGAAGAGAAAGATGGTGACTCCTGTGTGACAGATGCTCCTCGTGTGGCTGACTGCCCACTGTGCTCCAGCCCTGCAGAGGCTGCCAGGCTCCGGAGGGCAGGTGAGGAGCTGCCCAGGGGCCGTGGCTCTGGGGCAGGGTGTGAGCCTGGGGCTGATCCTGCCCCATCCTGCCTTAGGGGGTCCGGCTGTGAGAGGAGCCAGGCTGAGGGGTTTTTACCGATGTGTTTTGCCCAGCAGGTGCCCACCACCTGCCCGAGTGGGTGCCGGACAGCACATGCAGCCAGTGCTCTGCCTGCCGCTCGCCCTTCACCGTGCTGCGGCGCCGGCACCACTGCCGCAGCTGTGGGAAGGTACAGCGGGGTTGGGACGGGGCACGTGGGGTTCCCCGAGGGACCCGGCTCTGCTCAGCCCCTCTCTGGCCTCTCGGCAGATCTTCTGTGCCCGCTGCTCACCGAATACCGCAGTGCTGCCCTGCTACGGCCAGAGCAAACCCGTCCGAGTCTGCACCCACTGCTACACCACACACCTCCCGCCCACGTCCCGCTGTGCCCGGAGCCAGTGAGAGCCCCTCTGCCGGGTCTGCAGCGTGGGAGGCCGCGCAGCTGGGTGTCCAGGGCCGCTCCGGGGCTGCCGGGCAGCACCTCGGCCCCGTGACTCTGCTCCGAGCTCGGTGGGCATGGCGGCAGGACCCCCCCACCCGGCGTTAGGCTTCCCCCGTGCACAGGGGCAGGGCCCCACACACGGTGCAGCCCGTGCGGAGCGATGGTGGGCGCAGGACCGCCGCTCCCGGTGCGCTCCGCCTTGGGTGAGCTGCCTGCTGCTGCCGTGCACCTGCCCCCCGGCTGGAAATGTGCTTCGTGGTGGTTTTTTTTTTCAGGTGAACTTTGGCTGCTGTTGGGCCCGGGGCAGAGTCTCCCCCCGGGGCCTGGCCTGAGAAGGTGCAAACATCAAACTTCCCTCACATGACAGCGGGTGCCCCGGGGCCGCCCGTACCGTGCCGTGCCGAGCCGTGCCCGGGAGCTGGGGCCCGGCGCTCCCCCTCCCTCCCTATCGCCTGCACCCTATGGATTTTAATAAAGAGATAAACCCGTCTGTCTGGGCCGTGTGGCGCTGGCCGCGGCCGCTGTGGGGACACGCGTGGGCCCGGCGGGGCGGGGGCGGCAGCGCGTGCGCGCTCCCGCATGGGCGGACACGGGCGCGCGCGTGGGCGGGCGCGCCTCTCCCGGGGGCGTGGCCTTTTGGAGGGCGTGGCCTTGAGGCGACAATTGCTTAAACCCCGTCAGGGGCGTGGCCTGACGCCGGGGGGGCGTGGCCCGCGCCGTCCCCTCCCGCCGATTCAAATTTGAAGCACGAGCTTTCCCGCCTGAATTTGTTTGCCCGCCGAGGTGACGTCAGCGGCGCGGGGCGCCCCGCAGCCAATGAGCGCGCGGCTCGCGGGCCCCCCCCCCGCCCTCCCGCCATGGAGCCCGCGGCCAGCAGCATCCAGGTGCTGCTCCAGGCGGCCGAGTTCCTGGAGCACCGCCAGCACCGGCACCCGCCCGGCCTGGCCGAGGCCGAGCACGGCTACGCCGCTCTCTGCCCTGCGCCGTCGCGCCGCGCCGTGGGCAGCGTCAGGTGAGCGGCGGGCGAGTGGATGGGTGGGTGGACGGCGGCGGCGGCGGCGGTGCTGATCACCGGGTCTCTTCCGCAGGTCGGTGCACAACGCGCTGGAGAAGCACAGGTACGGGGGCGTGCGGGGAGAGCGGCGGGGCAGGGGGTGGTTGGGCCCGTGCCTCTCCGTGGCTGACCCCCGTGTCGTTCCCCGCCTGCCCGGCCGCAGGAGAGCCCAGCTGCGGTGCTGCCTGGAGCGGCTGAAGCAGCAGGTACCGGTGGGCGTGGGGCCGTCCCGTTCCACCACGCTGAGCCTCCTGCACCGTGCCCGGCTTCACATTCAGGTGAGGGGGGTGGTGGCACCAGCATCGCTCGGTCCCTGTGTGGGAACAGGGCCGCCCAGCTCGGCCCCCGCTCACGGCTCACCGGGCCCCCACAGAGGCTGGAGGAGCAGGAACTGAGGGCACGAAGAGCCAAGGACCGGCTGCGGGACCGGCAGCGGAGCCTGCAGCAGCGGCTGGAATCGCTGCTCCTGCCCACCGATGGGGAACGGGCACGGGCTGACAGCCTGGACTCATCCCAGATCTCAGAGCCCTCTGAGGAAGGTAAGAAAGGGGAAAGAGAGAAGGAGGGTGGGCAGGGAGAGAAAGCAGCCAAGGGCCTGACCCGGCCTTCCCCGTGCCCAGAGGATGCCGAGGTAGAGGTGGATGGTGTGGTGTTCAGCGGGGACCTGCTGCCCAGCTTTGGCACCGGGAGGGAGCACAGCTACTCCAGCCCCCACAGCCCCGCATCCTGACGGTGCCCGCTGCCCTCCCTGCGCTGCCTGCCTGCCTCCTTCCTGCTGGAAACCCAGCCCCACCAGCCTCATCACAGCTGCCAGGCTAAGGGGCCACAGATGGGGGCAAGAGTCTGGCCTTACCCCCCCACACCTGGGTGGCACTGGCTGTGGCACTGGGCGCATGGGGCTGGCACTGCGCTGTGGCACCTGCTGGGCACCACGAGGCACTGGAAGAGGTGCTGGAAGAAGGCCCAGCTGTCACTGAGGACACTCCCCTGCCTCCCCCTGTGCACCCACGGGCAATCTGGGGGCTGCCTGGTGTGGGTATGGGGCAGTGCTGCCCACTGCAGACACCACTACAGAAAGGCTCTCCTGCCCCTGGAGGGCCAGGAAGGGGAAATGAGTGCATTAAGCAACCTGCCTTCGTGCTCCTGCAGCCACCCCGCTCTCTTGTACAGACCCAACATTTTTATAGTAAAGGCACTTGGTAAAACCCTGGCCTGTGTCTTCCCTGCAGAGGGCTGGACCCCCAGAGTGCAGAGCAGCGCTGGGCTCTGCTCCAGCCAGGCCAGCCTCAGCCAAATCAGAGGTGGGAGTAGATTCTTTAATGATAATTACATCTCAGAAAGGGTCAAGCAGCAGCTGATTGTCAGACTTATACAGTTTCGTTAAAAATATAAAATCTAAGGAGTCTCCTATCTGTCCTGGTGCAGCTGGCCCCTCACACGTACTGCTTCTTCTTGGTGGCTGCCTTGCTCGCCAGGTCCTTGGCTTTCTCCGTAGCAGCCAGAGCTGTTTCCTTGGCTTTCTCAGTTGCTTCCTTGGCTGTCTCCACCAGTGTTTTGGATGGAGCTTCTCCTACAACATGGAAGCTGTTAACCCCACAGGCGTGCCGGCTGGACCGGCCCTGACACTGAGGCACTTCCCCACGCAGGGAGGAAGATGAGCCCGGCGTTCCTGACCCCAGCACGTCACGGCACGTCCCGGGGGGAACCACAGGCACGTGACTGTGGCCATGTTCCACCCCCTCCTGCACTCCACCCTTGCCCGGCCCTGCAATCACTGCTGGCCTGATCCACTCAGGAAGAGCAGGCTGTGCCAAGATGCAGGGCAAAGGCAAGGGGTGAGGATTTCACAGTCAGATTAGTTCAAGCAACAACCTGCCCATGGACTGGAGTGTTCCCAGTGCGACCTCTAACTCCAAGAGACCCATCCCGGTCAGCCCCAGCCTGCCCTTGGTGCCCACCTTGCATTTTTGCTAGCACATATTCAAATCCCTTAGTGCTCTTGGTCACGTTGCTTTTGAACCTGGCCAGACCAAACTCCTGCAAGAGAAAAGTCAGTGAAGGTGTGAGCTCTGTCACACACAACCCCTGGGGCTTTGTCCCAGCTTGAAAAATCACAGTGACTTTCACAGTGATGGTTCTGGGTGCTGAGGATGGGGGGGAACAATGGGAAAGGGTGTAAAACCAGCACAAGGAAAGGGTAGAGCAGGGGCGAGCAGCAGCTTTACTGCTCGAGCTCACCTGGATGGCCCGCGAGACGCCAAATAGGCTGGAGGATACCCAGGCTTCCCGCTTGACCTCGGTCCAGTTGCTGTTCTCGGGGTTCACCCGGTACTCGCAGCGCTCCTCCACCACCTGCACGAGGCACAGCCCGGCCGTGGGCACCGCGGGGTCCCCTCCACCCCCGCGCACCCGCCCGGCCCAGCACCTACCATGAGACGAGCGTGGTTGATGTTCCAGGTGAATGTGGTCATGGTTCGGTTCTTGGGGTCCACGATAGAGTCCTCCAGGATGTAGACGGAGTGGGCGACATTGGCTGGGAAGAAGCGCTCTGCCCAGCGTGGCATCCGGTTGGTCTTGGTCAGGAGCCGCCGAGAGAGCAGCTTGTGGTCCGGCGTCACCTCCCGGTGCACGATGTCTTCGGTCAGGACATGTTTGCTAAAATGGGGAAGAAAACATCACGCCCTGCTCCTCGCCAGCTCTCCCGCGGGGCTGGCAATCGCCAGGAACTGAGCGATTAAAGCAGGGAGGAACCAACTGCGCGCCGGGACACCCATCCCCGCCGGCTGGAGCCCGCGGGACCCCCGGGGACAGGGCTGGGCCGGGCACGGGCGGCGGCACAAGCCCAGCTGGGACCGGGGGGCGGAAGGGGGCGGGGAGGGCCCCGGCGCACCTGTAGGGGTTGGGGTAGCGCTGCCAGAAGGCGGCGAACACCTGGTCCCAGGGCCCCTTGAGGACGCCCAGGCTGGCGCAGTATTTCCCCATGGGGCCGCCGCTCAGGCCCGCGCCTGCTGGGCGGCCGCCATGCGGCCCGCGCGCCCCGCCCCGCCGCGCGCTTCCGCCCCGCACTGCGCACTTCCGGCACGCCCCGCTCGGTTCCGGTCCCGCCCCCTTCGGTTCCGGCCCCGCCCCGGCCGGTGCGGCCCCGCCCCGCGGCGGCGGCGGCGCGAGGATGAGCGGGAGGCGGGTGGACGCCAAGGTGGTGCTGCTGGGGCAGGAGGGGGTGGGCAAGAGCAGCCTCGTGGAGCGCTGCGCCCACGGCCGCTTCCGCGCCGGGCCCTACCAGAACGTGAGTGACACACCGGCGCCCCCCGCGTCTCCCGAGCCTCCCCGGGATGAGCCCATAGCGCGGCGCCCCCGCATCCTGCCCGTTTCCGCGCCGTGGCCCCGGGATGCTGCCACCCGCGTCTCTGGACGGCGGCTCCTCGCGTTGTCCCCCCGTGTCCGGGCTGGGACCCGCCACGTCCCTCCCGCCCCCGCGGGTCGGTCCCTTCGTTTCCTCACCTCTCTCCGCACGCCCCGGGGTGAATTCCCCCGTGTCCCTGCGCCGGTTTCCGCCGTGTTCCCAGGCCGGGTGCCCCCGCATCCCCGGGCCGGTTCCCACCGCTCCTCCTGCTTCGCTTGCAGACGATCGGAGCCGCTTTTGTGGCCAAGGTGATGACCGTGGGCGACCAGACGGTGACCCTGGGCATCTGGGTGAGTGCAGCGGCGAGGGCCGTGCCAGCGCCCCGCTGACAGTCCTGGCCACCCCTGGTGAGGGAGCCCTGGGACCCTCCGAGCCCTGTGACCTGCCTGTCGCCCCCAGGACACGGCGGGCTCGGAGCGCTATGAGGCCATGAGCCGCATCTACTACCGGGGAGCCCGGGCTGCCGTCGTCTGCTACGGTAAGGGCATGGAGAACGGGAAGGGGAAGGAGCTGGGGAAGCTGTGCCTGTGGCTGCAAAGGGCCCGGGCCGGGGTGGTGACACCGGTGGGTCGGGCACTGAGGAGCAGCGTCAGCAGACCCCGATTCCTCTCCCCAGATCTCACCGACAGTGGCAGTTTCCAGCGAGCCAAGTTCTGGGTGAACGAGCTGCAGAACTGTGAGGAGGTACGGGGGTCTGGGGGCTCTGAAGCCTCCCCAGAGGACAAGGGGGCTGGTGGTGGGACGTGGGCACACCCCTGCCAACCCTTTTCCTGCCGCAGGGCTGCCGGATCTACCTGTGTGGCACCAAGAGCGACCTGCTGGAGGAGGACAGGAGGAAGCGGGGGGTTGACTTCCACGATGTGCAGGACTACGCTGATGGTACGGCCCGTGCTGGCCCTTCCCGGGCTAGTGAGCACTGAGCGGGTGGGGAGTGAGGCAGGATTGAGCTGCTGTGTCCACAGCAGGAGCTCTGCCCTTGCCGTGGGCCCACAGCAGATCCAATGGCACCAGGGCTCCCTGTATGGTGAGGCACTGGCTCTGCCAGGGACCTCCCTGGGCACAGCGTGTCCTGACAGGGGCAGGCACGTGGCCAGCTGGGCCAAGGGGCCGGGAGCCCTGCCCTGTGTCCCTGCCAGCCTGCTGTCAGCAGCTGTGCCCCAGGGGTGACTCTGGGGGCAGACATGCCCATGGAGCTGTATCTGCTGAACCTGCAGCAAGTGCCAACCTGGGCCCTCATTTCAGAGATCAAAGCAGACCTCTTTGAGACCTCCAGTAAAACGGGCCAGAGCGTGGGTGAGTAGCTCCTTGCTGGGGCCATGTCCTGGCTGAGCAGGGCTGGGGGCTCTGCCTGGCAGTGGGGCACCCACATCTTCCATGTCTCCTCTCCCCCAGATGAGCTGTTCCAAAAGGTGGCCGAGGACTATATCAACTTCTCCGCCTTCCAGGTGATGACAGGTGAGTAGGCAGGACGTGTCCCTCCCCAGGCACCCTTCCCTGTGCCTCTGGGTGCAGAGCACAAGCTCTGGGGGTCTGGCAGTGCTTCCCCTGGGGCTCCTGTGGCTCCGTGCCAGGGATTGTCTCAGAGAGTTTGAGTTCCATCACATCATCCCCATGCCTGCTCAGGCCAGGCTCAGCACATCCACCCAGCTGGCTCATGGTGGCCTTTGGAAGCCAGGAGCCTTGCTGGGCTGCATGACTGGCTCAGCTCTGCACCAGCCCTGCCCAGGCATGCTCAGCCTGGCTGTGCCTCCTGCCCTGGGCTGGGCCGTGCTGTGTGAGCTGTGCCATGACTCTGAACCTCGCACTTCTCCGTGGGGCACCAAACCCTCCCCAGGGCACCTGCCAGGGCCCACACCTGGGACCAGCAGCTTTGGTGGCGTGGACGTGCCAGCAGCCTGCTGCTCCTGCTCTCTTCCAGAGGACAAGGGTGTCAACCTGGGCCAGAGGAACAGTCCCTACTTCTACAGCTGCTGCCACCACTGAGCCCCTGTGCCAAAAGGGAATTGCTGCTGCTGGACGGGCAGCTGGCGCTCACCGGACTCCTCCGGTTTTTTACCTGCTGTGTTTTAGCTGTTGGGGCCTGTGTGCAGCACAGCTACGGACTGCTCTCCTGGCACACAGAGCGGCACAGGGCTGCCGTGCAGTGCCAGGAATCATGGACTGTCACTCTGGGGACCCCCTCCCTGCCACCTGTGGTGTTTGTGGGAGCTGTGGTGGCCCAGCGGTGGCCAGTAACTTATTCTCTCAGAGATGCTCGATTCTTTGCAGATTTATTTAAGCGTCTTCTCTCGAGGTGTACAATGTAAATAAAACGCGTTGTGGTCTGAGCCGTACGCCTGCGCGAGGCCGTCAGGGCTCTCCCTTCCCTGTCTCCCCCCACTCAGCAAGACAAACCACAAGAGGACATCGAGAGTAAAGTTAAACTTTACTTTACAGTAATTTTTCTTCTATATACAAAGAATTACAGTACATGTTCTGGGAGCACCTGGGCAGGGCAACCCTCTTTTCATGATAAGTTTCACATACACAGCCAACAGTCTAAGGGGAGCAAAATGAAAGTAATCAATGGTCCAAGACTCTCCCCTCTCCCTCTTCTAAAAATAATATACATGCTGGAAATATGTAGTTTACTCTCACCTGCTCTGGCATTCCTTCTTACAACTGACAGATGACTCCTGGCCAGGGCTGAGCACCCCCTTTGTCCCCCCTGCAGTGCTCTGGCACTGGTGTCTGCCTTGGCTGGGA